ATGAGTGTTTTAGGTCTTAAAAACGTCACACAAGTTTTAATTTCTCATACACACGTGAACTTGAAAGTATCGTGTGAACTTCTAAAACTTACGTGAGGGTTGAGAACTTCGATTTCTCTCGACAGCAATATCGAAAAGATTGCACAGAACAAAAGCGAGGCGTTCGCATGCGGTGTCGAGAAGAGGGGTGAGCCATGACCTAGCTGCCGCACGTGCTATCTCTGCAGCTGCCTCCATAACTCCTCTGCTCCCACCTCGGCCAGCATGGGCAAGTAAAATATTCGCCACCTGTAAAGTACAAAACGTTATTGATAGTTTTTTACGCGGACAAATTTCCAACCAGAGAGAGAGGTAGAAAGAGAGAGGAGGTTCAGATTGGTAGAAAAAAGAAAACAGAATGATGAACCTTCTCCCTCGAGACAACCGGGCATTCCACAGAATACGTGGCACAACGAAACTCATGCACCACCCTCTCAAATGCAGCACCGCCATAAAGACGAAGAGTGGCGTTCGGAGGCTTTGTGTCCATATTAACACCAGGCCAACCTCCAATGCCACTCTCCAATTTTTCCTCTTCAGTTGTTTTGCCCCACTGTTCAGGAGCTGGATCAGCCGCCCCATCAAGAAGAGAATCCTTTACCAAAAACAATCAGCCACAACACGCAAAGCTTCAAAATCCAATTTCAAAGAAGTACAAAAAATAGATTATAACTTTAGNTGGAGCTCGGATTCAAGATAGTCTCTGAGAGAACCGAAACCTATGTGGGATTTGTACTTCTCCTCATCATACCCTCCTTTGACACCTTCACGAAGATAGGACATGACTCCCGCATCTACCTGAGCTATTTGTCTACGGAACTCATCATTAGAAACTATGCTTCTGTCCTTTGGCAGGGCAACAAAGAACGGTCGAGTGTTTTCTCCAAGGTATCCACTTGCACTCAAATACCGATCCACTTCCCACCGATCACTAAACTCCTGCAAAAAAAAAGCAGAAAAAAAAAAAGAATAGTAAGCATGAATGAAGAAGCAAAGTCTACAGAAAGAAAAAAGAAAAAAAATACCACAAGTTTTGGTGGGTGAATCTAGAGACGTAACAACTTGAGTATTTATGATGTATTTTTGCATATATGTCCCTCAATTGAGAATAACATACCTTAAGACGGTTGTCAAATTTGGAGACAACAATGATTGTACGTCTGAAGGCGGGATCAATTTCACGAATGGTGTCCAACCACAATGAGGAACACCACTCAACACTACTCTGCTGAAGAAATAGAAGAATGCGATGAGGTGGACTAGCTATGTTCTTCACCATCGACAAAATCTCATCTGGAGTACTCTCGGGTTCGCCTTTCTTTGCCTGTAATCTTTTCATGCTCAGTTTTTCATTTTTGGTAATAATAAAGAATTTAAAAGGACGAAGGAAAAGCTCCATTTCAGTGCCCAAGTTTCATAACGTACCTTGAGAACAAAGCCAGGAGTATCGATAATGGTGAGATTAGGACAGTGAGCATATTCCACCCTTATCACGATAGGCTTAGGCGAGACTGCAGCTTTCGTCTTCTTCAAAAGTGCTTCAGTACGAGCTTTTATGGTATCAGCAATGGCAGTGGATGATATCATAGCAGTCCCATATTCTTCAGAATACTCTTCCTGACAAATTAATTAAAATTAGCACCTTCCATCTTCAGCTAAAGAGCAACTATACTTATAATATCAACAAAAGTTGATTTTGATTTAGAACACATAGAACTTTTATAACGAAAATTTAGCAAAAAAATAAATACATCAAGACAAAGAAAATTCATGCCAAGGCCTCATTTTTTCTCAATTACTCAATCCTTTGTCCAAAAGTTCCACAAATGAGCACAAAATCGGAACTCGTTATGTTCGAAAGATCCCTATATAGTTTCATAAATCCTAGAACTCAGAGTTGGACCTATACATCCAGACAAAAGATTTAACAGATCCATGTCCATTTTCAATCAAAATTACCAATTCTATATGAAAATCTATCATAACTTAAACGACACTCACTGTAACTCTGTAAGCTTTTTAAGAGTACAAACTACGAGAGAGGCCAAAAAAAAAAAAAGGAAATGCAAAATACCTGAAATCGGCATCGAGGCTCGAGAGCATTTGAATCATGAATCATCTGCAGCACGAGCGGCCGTCGAGTCCCCATTTCAACTTCCCGCACATTGAATCGGAACCCTAGGAGGGCTTCAAGCAACGAGCTCTTACCGTCGGACTGGCCGCCGAGAGCCACGATCTCCGGAATCGGGAGCTTCTCTCCGAACGCCACTGCAGCGGCCTGGAGGCGATTGTAGGCCTCGTATCTTCTTTTCAGTTCATAAGCGGATTTGCTGGGCGTGTCCATTGATTGGTGGTGGCGGGGCCTTTTTCTGGAAGCGGAATTTTCGGAAGAAGGGCTTTTGGAAGGAGTATTGAGGAAATTAGAGGTATTACCGATTATTCCGCCGGTGGCGCTGCCGGTGGTGGCCATTGGTGGACTCCGATGAGGGAATGAGATTTTCAGAATGATGGATTTCAAATTTTGAATTTGTGTTGTGGTTTAAAATGGTAGTAGCCGTTTGGATGGTCAGATGGGCCTCTTTATGGGTCGAGATATGATTTTGTTTAGGACAGCCCAATTATATGAAAAGCCCAATAGTCAATTAAGCAGAAAGTGTTGGCAACACGGCTAGATAAATCCTACATGAGCAGCTAGAATGCGATAAAATTGATATTATTCGGACTTAATAATTCGATAGTAATATTTTTAAAAAAAATATTATTAGACAAGCAATCGATTTATTTAGGCTTAATAATTCGATAGTAATATTTTTAGAAAAATATTATTCAGACAAGCAATCCATATGCTTTTCGACCTACTTTAAAAAAATTCATAAGAATAATAATATGATAGTTCACATTATAAGTATGTATGTTTGAAAAAAAAAAAAATGATGAATTGTCACTTAGGAGGCCACACAAAATAATTTGCTCAGTGAGAATTATTAATTAAATAGTAATATTTTTCGCACTTAGCCTATCCGACTTGCTTGGGACTAAAGACTATGTTGTTGTTGTTGTTAATTATATTTTTCACACAAGCAACCGATATGCGCTTCAATCATTTTACTACTTATTTTTATCGTTTTCAATAAATATCAATTTTAAATTTATTATTATATAATACATATATATATATATATATATATCAATTTAATTAACATTTAAAACTAACTAAAATCAAACAAGAACATAAGTATAGTAACATTGACTTCAGAAATTTATATTTATATAAAACTATAAATTTATAAAGAAAATAAAAATCTAGTATTTAATTATTGTTATTTGGGTTGTAAATTATGTTTAACTGATTTTATGGTATGAAACTAGAATGAACTGACATTCCGGCAAAAAATAGTATTTAAAATATAATCGTACCAGCCCGACCACGTGTATCCATATTATTAATATTATCGAATCGTATTTAAAATATTTCTTTTTAACAAATACGCACAATTTTATATACAATTGACATACTTTAAACACTTCATAACCAAGAGTATAAAATCATGGCACTTATAATTTGTTCAAAAAGTATGATGAATCGATTTGCAAATATGATGAATCGATTTCAAAATTTGTATATAAAATAAAATATGCTTAAATGTTGAAAATTTTGGTAGTTTCACACACGAATTGTGTTTTGCATTACCTGATGTTCTTAATCAATTAAATTGACGATTGACTTATAAGCCTAACTCTTGTTTAGAAGTCCTAACACTACGAAACAAAATGAAATTTTCAATTAGATCAAGTGCAAAATAAAAAGTAATATTGACCAGATTAAATGGATATTAAATTAATTGTAGAGTTGGATTAATGCGAAGTTTGGTACTCTAATTTGTCACGGTTGACAAAAAAGGAAATTTCAACTAATGACGCCATTTTTTGCATACCAAAATGTTTGATTGGAGTTGAAATAAAGTTTGGTAGAAAGTTTGGCTAGCATATAAAAAATAAATAAAACATGTTAGATCTGAAATAAAATTTAACCTGAAAGTGAAATCTATATGTGCATTGTATTTGCCTGATTAGATGTTTGATCCGCACGCTCTAATTAAGTAATTCCAAATGGTTATTTTAATCACCTTTGAACTCAAAATGTTAATTTTGAAAAAGTCTTTTCGAAATGACCAATTTCTTTCTCTTCAAGCTCTGAAAGAAGAGGGGATATTTTGTTAAAATTTATATTTTTAGTAAATTATATACTCGATACATTTTTTTTTTCAAAACGATATAGTGATACATTTAATAAATAATTTCTTATATAATGTTTAGTTAAATTACACTTAAATAAATTGAATTTAATATTCATAATTTTATGTTATTGAATATGATTTATTAGTTTTAAGTCGATCAGTACTATTCTTTCAAATGTAGTTATTATTAATTCAATAGAATTTATCAACAAAATATATATTAAAAACAAATTTCTTCAATGTTCTTATAAATATAAGCTACATATTTTCACAATCATTCGGCTATCCACTATTAAATATTTACCAAACAATCCTTTAAATCCCGACATAACCAAATTTGCTAACATAATCAAATATCTCTATTACTAATTCAATTATCTATTAGTTATAAGTTATCCGTTAATTGCCGTAAAAGACCAAATTATGCATATATTATACTCTGTTAATACAAACTTTTTATTTCATTGTATGTCATATAGTTACTTTTGTGGTTTTCATGTAGGACTTCTTATATCAAATAAAAGAATTTAATTTATAAATAAATTAAATATTTAATTGTTTTTAAGGTGTGACTTTTATATTTCATGATTTTTTACTACTACTTGTTTTAAACAACATTTGAAGGACGTGCTGCCAAATTACTAAATTTCTAGATTCTAATTCCATCATTTTACACAGATGAGAAAAGAAGAAGAAGAACAAAGCCCAAGTAGACTTTTAAGTTATTGTTTTGGAAATATTAGGTGGAAAAAGACCTCTTGAGCTTCATTCTTTGTATCCAGCTATGTCATCAATTAACTAATCTTAAACTTATGGAAATAGAAATTGAATAAGTTGTCACTTTGACTAATTAACACTCCTAATTCATGAGCTTAGCAATTAAGGCCTTGCTTGTTTATA